AGGAGTCGCCGAGGGGAGGTGGGGGGAGGGGCAGAGGATTTTGGGGGGATTTTGGGGTTTTTTGGGGGGATTTTGGGGGTGGGGCGTGGTCTCGTGGTTCCCATCCCCGCCCCGGTTTTCCCGGCTCTCCAAAAACCCCAAATTTCCCCCAAAATCTTCCCAAAACTCCCCCAAATTCTGCCCCACCCCCCTGAAATCCCCTCCCCAAAAACCCCTCACAAAAAAAAATCTCAATTTCCATAAAAACCCCAAATCCCCCCAAATTCTGTCCCCCAAAAACCCCAAATTCCCCAAAATTCCCCCAAAATCCCTTTGACCTGGAGGATTTTAGGTTTTGGGAGGATTTTGGGTTTTTTTTTGGGGTGGATTTGGGGGATTTTAGGGAATTTTGGGGGGTCCTGTTGTCCCCAGTACCCCCTGGAACTGCCCCCTAAATCCCTCATTAAATTAATTAAATCCCATTAATTAAATTCCATATTTCCCATTTAATTAATCTATTCCCTATTAATTAAATCCCAAATTCCCTATTAATAAATCTTGTATTTCCCATTAATTAAATCCCACATTTCCCATTAATTAAGTCCCATATTTCCTATTAATTAAATCCCATATTCCCCATTAATTAAACCCATTCCATATTAATTAAATCCAAAATTCCCATTAATTAAATCCCATATTCCCTATTAATAAATCTCATATTTCCTATTAATCCCATATTCCCATTAATTAAATCCCATATTTCCCATTAAATAAATACATTCCCTATTAAATCCCAAATTCCCTATTAATAAATCTCATATTTCCCATTAATCCCATATTTCCTATTAATAAATCCCTTATTTCCTATTAAATAAATCCAATCATTCCCTATTAAATAAATCCAATTATTCCTTATTAAACAAATCCAATTATTCCTTATTAAATTAATCCAATTATTCCTTATTAAATAAATCCAATAATTCCTTATTAAATAAATCAAATCATTCCCTATTAATTCCGTTTATTCCTTATTAAATAAATCCAATAATTCCTTATTAAATAAATCAAATCATTCCCTATTAATTCCGTTTATTCCTTATTAAATAAATCCAATTATTCCTTATTAAATTAATCCAATGATTCCTTATTAAATAAATCCAATCATTCCCTATTAAATCCAATTATTCCTTATTAAATTAATCCAATGATTCCTTATTAAATAAATCCAATCATTCCCTATTAAATCCAATTATTCCTTATTAAATAAATCCAATCATTCCCTATTAAATCCAATTATTCCTTATTAAATTAATCCAATGATTCCTTATTAAATTAAT